CACCGACCACCCTCCCCGAGTCAAAGGTCTGCTCTCAATGGCTGAGCCTAGTGAGCGCATGCTTCAAGTTCTGAGCCCCGCCTGTTCTCCCGCCTTTGCAGGTGGACCAGGATGCCCCGGACGCCAAGAAGATGGACGCCTAAAGCCTCAGAGGCTCAGAGAGGCTCAGAGAGGGTCAGAGGCTGGGCGTGCTCAGTACGGCATGTCGGAACGTAGGCTTGAAGTGTCGGCTTGCCATCTGCATTCCACAGGCGTCAAACCTTGCCTTCACTCGCTCCGCAGGAGTTGACCTCTCCGAGCCCAGTTCCGACAGAGCTCTGCCACCGAGCCTGCAGTGTCCCAAAGCAGTAGGCATGACATCAACTTGGTCGCACCCCATGTGGACTTGTTTCCATCAGCCGGTGGAGTGGCAGCAAAATGTGAGCAGGGCTCCTTGCTGCGACAAGCGGATGCTAAACTCGGCCCACACAGCAGGCAAGACATGAGAGGTGCTGTACAGAACATGGCGGATCCCTCGAAGTCTTGCAGCCATTTACCAGCTTGCCGGAGTTCGGGGCTGCTTGGGCCCACCGGCGACTGGCTGCGTCATTCGCCACCGTAAGAAGCAGTCTTCTTGAACTTTACGGCCTTGACATTCAGTCGAGAGAATTGCCAAGATCATCACGTACTATTGCAAGATCATCACATACTTTTGCGAACTCGATAGATAGAATCTGATGCCATCTTCTGCGAAGAGTCATGAATACCTCTTTGAGCGCCATGAAATCTTCGACACTGTTTGTCCTGTTCGCTTTGGTTGGTGGGCAGAGTATCCCAGCCGCTGGGCCTGTTGGAGCGATTGCAGTGGCCAGGTGTGAAGAGTGGTTGTCATGCTGGTGACCATGTCGTTGGTGCCATCCACAACGATGACGCTGATGGTAACGGACGAAGTTGTTTAGGAGTGCGACGAAGACGATGAAGATGATGAGGGCAACAAGGATGAACAGGAAGATGATAAGGAAGACCACGACGAAGTCGACGACCCACGACGACCCACCACGACGACGACGGGGGTGGTAGTGGTAGTGGTGGCGTGGTGACGACGATGATTGTGGCTCATGATCATGACGACGCAATATGATGCGGAAGAGGCAGAGGCAGAGTAGGAGGAACAGAAAGACGAAAAGGAAAAGGGAGACGAAGAGGGTCATGATCATGATCATGTGATGATTGTAATGATGCTGCTTCTGGTGGTGTTACAGTTGTCGAGGCTGAAGATGATGCTGGATGGTTGGATATGACCATTGTATCGCCAATGCGCATGAGGCCGTTAACCATGCAGGAAGATGGTGGTGAGGAAGAAAATCATGACAATGATGAAGATGAGCATGAAGTCTTGCTGAATTAGTGACCGCAGCTGAGGCAGAGCAGACGTCGCAGCAGCGTGCCCTCTTCGCCGAGCATAGAGCCCGAGCTCAGGCTCAGAGCGACGCGGCCGAAGAAGGTTTTCAGCTTCGTGTTTGCGGTATTGGGTTCAGTGATGTGGGGATACTGAATCCTTCTGCTTGGGTTTGAAATGCCCACCATACCCTCCATCTCATGACCCATTGATGCCGAATCATTCCGGCCGGACCACACCGAAAAGCAAATCGCACTAGGAGCTCCAGAGCAGCTTGCGAGATGAGATAACTTCCTTGGGACAACCACACTCAAACCCCAGAGCTCATGGCTCAGGTGCGTTAGCCACTCCAAAGGTGCTTGAGTTCTTCGCAGCACGGCAGCCCACATTGGTTGCGGGCCAAAGACGTTTGCTTTGATGATGATGGGGATGGAGATAAATATGGTGATGAGGGCTGCATACTCGAGCCAGTAGATTTTGTTGTATTTGTGTGGTACAGTATGGTACTTGCGGGCTAGATCGGAGAAGGGACAGGGCGTTAGCGCCACAAACCGTGTCGACCTAAGTTAAGATCAAGCTACCCTTTGAGGAGGCAACATGAAACTGCCCGAGGACTCGCCGCTGGTGCGTGAGACGCTTCGCCACTGCTGCGAGGATCGCCGACACCTCAAAACAATGAACATTGCCACATAAGACTGACATAGTCCCGGGAGCAGGCGAGAGTCAAGAATGTCGTACAGAGAAGCTCCAAGCCTCTGATACCTCCTCTACATCCCTCTGTATCCCCTTCTGCACCAGAGATGGGCCTTCTTTGCCTCGCGAAAGAGAGGACCTGGCCGAGGAGCCTGCAGAGAGCCTCCTGCGGCGCTACCGGGCGGAGGTCGAAGATTTAGGAAGACAAGTGGTAGCAGAAGCTGAGTACTGTAATGCAGGTAGCCGAAGAAAAAAAGGTGCAGTCATACGCAGTCGGGATGAAGGATCTCGCAACACTCAGCAGCATTGAACAAAGCCAGGTCATGAGCAGCGAACTGCACAGACCCGAACCGTCTGCAACCCGCGACTGTTGAGGCAAGGGCATCGGAACTCGCTCATGCATTTCCCGCGAATAGCATCGAGGCCATGTGGCCAGATGTCTTGGGCTCAGATCAGCTTTGCATGGGACTTGTCACGTGAGCTGCAGAAAAAGCCACACACACACACACACCAGCTGCCCTCAGGTCACCATTGATGAGGTTCACAAAGAGCCTTGGTTTCTGAATGAGTGGCAGGCCTCGGAAGGGAAGGGTCTGAGGCTGCTGCGGGTGGAACAGCGCGGGGCATGAGTGCGAACTCGGCCGGGTTGATCGCAACCTGGTAATTATCCTCCCGCACGCGTACCTACACCCGAGCCGCCCCCATCCCAAACTCTACACCGTCTACACCCATAATAGATGACTGGACCTGGAGCCTAGTCCGTCAGGCTGGCCTTCTTCAGCACTCCAACTTCTCGGGTGGGCCGAAGGCACACGCCACAGCCTCGCACGCAAGAACATGCGGGAACCACATCTGCAATCTTCCAGAATCGCAGTCTGGATCCCCGGTGTCGATTTGGATAGGACTGAGTGAGTGTGTCCTCCATGGGCCACAATAATTATGCTTGACAGCACTTGTGCTTGCACTTGAGTTGGAACCTGTGCCGACACAGTACAACCAGCCTCCCCACGAAGCAAGTGCACCCAGGCAGAGACACGCACGCACTGACACACGCACCTAGATACGTACGCATTGGCATCAGGTCACCCACATTTCTCCGCCCGGGAAACCGGATATGTATACAGCTCCCACCCCACAGTATGCGATTACCCCTGGCCTCCGTTGCGGCCCCGGCAGGGTGTAGCTTTCAGAATTTTAGAGGTTGAGGGGTTTGGGATCTAGGAAATTGCTGCTTAGGGCTTAGGGACAAAAGAGCTTTACCGACCAGGCCGTGAACGACTTGACACAGCAGCAGATCTACGGCTGCCGACCTTTCGCCGGATCCGGGCCAACTTGGACACTTCGTCCGTTTTTCGGATCTGTCAATGTCGAAGATGATTCAACGGTTTAGGGTTTAGGGTTTAGGGTTTAGGGTTTAGGGTCTAGGAAGATGATCAGATCCCCCTGCGAATTAATTGTGTATTCTCGCCAGTAGCCTCGATTGCTGAATGCACCCCGATCACACGCAGATGCAAGCCGGTACCTGCAGTCAGGAAAGAAGCTGCGGAGCGCTTGAGCCTAAGCTGCATACCTGGTACAGTACCACAGCGTCGCAGCGTCTGGGGAGTTCAAGGCTTTCGGGTTTAGGTCTTGCAGAGGCTAGCGTCCGGTCAGAGCCGGTCCAGGATCCTGCATTTACAATGCAGCCTCTTTCCACCGGCCACAGGCCTAAGGCATATCAGATGGAGCCGAGGATCTACATTGCTCACAACATGCTCCGATTAGATTTCGGCTCCCTGCCCGGATTTGGCGACGTGACGGCCGTGTTCAACACCACGCTGGTGCGCGACATGGTCATCATTTCTCCGCCACTTGGCCCTCTGACAGCTTTGCAGCAGTCTTGAGATTATGGGATATTGAGAGTGCATGGCTGGTCCAGTGCGCCATACGTCCAATCTGCTCCGTGCAGGCACGACACAGGCTGGGTGGACGTGGCAAAAGGGCAAGTGCCTTCGGACACGCAAGCAGCGTTGAGTTCCGGCAGAGCTCCGCTCGAAGTGCCTCACCCTGAAGGTCAGTATGGTATGGCGTGCCTCGATGAGGGTGTGCCTGGCAGCTGGGTGAATGCCTATTGTTCGGTGTCTGCTTCTGAACTGCCCGTCTGCATGGGTTTGGCAGAGTACCCGCCTCTCGCGAGCTGGATGTCGATGCAGAGTTGTTTAACGTGCAATACCATTTGAGGTGCTAGTGGTAGTGAAACCCAGCACATCTGGACCGGGGCGCCTTGTGACTTTTACCTACGACTGCTCAGGCAATTTCACGCCACCACCGCTGAACTGCTTCTGAGCTGCCTTGCAACAACACACCGTCCAAGCTTGGTGCATGCTCGTTACGGAGAACCACAGTGACCAGAGTAGCCAGAACATGTTTGCAACGCTTCGCAGGCGTGTAATTTTTGCACAAGCACCGTAGTGGCGTTTTCTGGACACTGCTGACCTCAGTCCGAGAAGATTCCAGAGTCATGCCTTCACAGCAAAGGCTCTGCTTGGCCCGGACAAGTTCTGGGCACCATGGACCGAACAGGGTCGTGCAGAAAATCCCTGTAGCTCGTGTAGTTGTCTCTGCGAGATGTGTGGCCTTACTTTCAGGAAGCTTGCTGAACAGCTGAAATTGTGAAGGACCACTTGGACCACCTCATACTGCCTAATCTCTACATGGCCTACAACACTTCAGCAACTCTTCCGTTTCCATTTAATGCCAGCTGCGTGGATGGCATTTGGACATGCGGGTTGATGTCGGGTTGACGTGAGCTTCCGACTTCAGCCATGTTCGATTGAAGCTCTAGAACATGAGCTCAAGATGTTGGAAGCCTCTGGGGCTTTGCTCCCAAAACAGAGAAGTCCAGTCACCGAAGTTGATCAGAGCTGACGTTGATATTCGCAGCAACTCTAAAAAGCGAGCAGCTGCACACATCCTCTGAGCCCCATGGCCCAGGCGGCAATCGCTCGGTCCGGAACTCCATTCGGGCACTCTTCCAACGATCCGCAATATCGAAGGTGGCGTACGAGGTGTCCGGGGGTTCTGTGTGGCGACGGAGCTGCCCACCGGCGATCGCTTCGGAATCTGTGTTTCGGAGTACAATACCGCCATGCTACCACCCCCTTGCAACCGTCCTCCTTGCCTCTCCCCAACTTCTGTGCAAACTGTCCAGGACATACCACCTCTGGATTTTTGGGCCTCCTTCCAGTTCCTGGAGGCAGGACATCACACATCCTCAGTCTCGCATACGCATCATCACGACAATCGGAAGAATCTTCACGGCAGCATGACGATGGCAGTCGTGGTCTCAGTTTTTGTCGTATGAGAACCATGATACTACGAATCATAGCAACCGCCATCAACGTCATGATCACCGTCATCATCGTGGTCGTGCGCATCATCATTATCATCGTCGTCGTCATCATCAACGTAGCCATCCTCATCGAGCCCAATGACGCGGTAAACCACCACAGATACCACCAGCTGCTACTAACGAGAGCAGCCACACTGTTAATACTAATCGTACTACCGGCAGCCGGAAGTGCCACGAGGTGGTCGCCATGCTGATGCCCACACTGGGAGCAACGTACAGTCCCAATTGCGATGATGAGTAATGTTATGGCAATTAGTATGGGTATGAGTATGAGCATTAGATATGATGATTGTTCTGATTGGCCTCAGTAGTCTCAGTCGCGGTGGTGGTGGTGGTGGTGGCGGCAGCAGCAGCGGTGACAGCAGCAGTGGCACTAGTAGTATCAGCAGTAAAAGGAGGAGGGTTAGGTGTAGGAGTAGAAGTAGGAGCAGGAGCAGGAGCAGGAGTATGGGAGTTGGAGTAGGAGAAGGAGTAGGAGTAGGTGGTGGTCGTGGTGGGGGTGGTGGTGCGTTTGTCAGCCGCCAGTGAAGTCCTCCAATTCGATCTGGGCATCACCCGAACTTGCAATGGCCAGCAGCCACGAGGGCTCCGTTCTCGAAAATCCGAGGCCCTGTGCTGCGTTTAGGGTGCTTGCTAAGTCACTGTAGCCTGGGCCCGCGCAGCCCATTTTTGCTGTCAGACGACTCTTTTGCCAGGCAAACCTGCTTGGCAACCCTCGGCTCCCCGAATCGGTGAAGTATCTCATTGGCCCCTCGGCAGATCCTGAACCGCCTGGACTCAGGGCGCAGCGAGCTCTAGGATTGACCGTGTTGAGGCTCCATATCGATTTGGCACAGGCCCATAAGCTCGATTCAATCGGCACAGCCCGGACGCGGACACCCAGAACCAAACCGTCAAACCCCGGAGCCCTGCATGCCCACCTCAACTCCGCTAAATGATTCCCAATGCCGTTTTCGGTGACCAAACATCCCGAAGTTTAATCGTCGAAACAGGAGTAGTCGTTGTCGTCGTCGTCGTGGTTGTGGTTGTTGTGCCTGTGGTTGCTGTGGTTGTTGTGGTTGTCCGTGCTGTCGTGATGTTGTCGTGACATCGCCGTCGTCGTGGTTGTGGTTGTGGTCGTGGTCGTGGTTGCGGTTGTTGTTGTTGTTGTTGTTGTTGTTGGCGGCGGCAGATGTTGCGTTTGCCGCCGCGGAGGGTGGAAGGACTTCAGGGCTGCAATGTGCTCAGACTCGAGTTTCGGCACATGGCTGTCCCGACAAAGCACCTCCGTTTTTTCATTTCGTCTTTTTTCGGTGTTTTCCTCAAAAAACATGTTCGATTTCAGGGCTGCGCTGTGCCAAAACTCGACTTTTCGCACATCGCAGCTTGGACTTCTATGGGTACAGAAACGGTATTTACATTAATTTGTGGCTTCTCCGTTTCCGTTTTTTTGCTTGCCTTGTGGGCAGATGATGATGATGATGATGTTGTTGTCGTTGTTGTTGTGGTTGTTGTGGTTGTTGTTGTTGTTGTTGCTGCCGCCACGGACCAGGCCGCCGCGCAGT